CCTCTTTGGTCTACCTTAACGGCATGCAAAAATTGATTACAATAATTGTCAATTGATTAAGAACAAAAAAAAAATATATTTGTCAATAAACTAGACTTGCAACGAATATTCGGTTACTATTCGGTATTCGGCCTATTCGGCTGCTTTTATTATATTCGGCCGAATACCGAATATCTACATATTATTCGGCCGAATACCGAATACTTAAATAATATATTTTGTCATTGAGAAATAATTGGTAAAATGAAAAATTAAAATCGATTGATTACGTATATATTCATATTTTCATTTCTGTTATAATCATTTAAGTAGTCATTGGTGCATAACACAGTTACATAATCATCTTCTGAATTGGAAAAATAGAGGATTTTATGTATTTGAATTATTGTGGTAATCAAAATTTAGAAGGGTAAGGTTCTTATTTCTTTTATAATCATTTATTAAGTAGTCATTGGTACATAAAACAGGTACATAATTTAATTCACGTCTGTACAAGTTTTTGGCGCTAAAATCCAGCCGAATACTTTTGCCTAATATTCGGCTATTCGGTCAGGGGCCTCGCCGAATATTCAGTATTCGGTATACTGCCGAATATACTATTCGTTGCAAGTCTACAATAAACAGATTAAATAAAAATGTCAATATAAAATATCAAAAATGTCCAAATGTTACAATTATACTTAACGTTACAAATAAACTTATTTAATTATGCAACAATAATATGATTATCCCAACTAGTAATAATATTAGTTTTCTGAAAATATTATTAGTTTTCTGAGAGAAAGTCACTTATTGCACAGTAGCATTTCTTTACTAAAAAACCTTGAAGGCGCTTCTTAAATAGATTAATATTTAACTTTTTAAATTCATTGGGTATCCGGTTATATATGACTGGCGCATGCAGAAAATGCTTTTATGCAATATAGCTGTATTTGCTCTATGTATGCGAAGCCTATCGCGTGTATTCGTCCTTCTACTTCGTGTAACGGTGTCTGCCAGTCTCAATTAATTCTGGATTTAACTTTACAAAAGTTGCTGTTTCAAATACATATAAAGATGGCAAAGTTAAATATCGTGCCTTACAAAGTATGGTTTACAGCTATCTCTATTATTTAAACCAAACATAGCACCTCGTACACTTCTCGTATATTTTTCATGATTCATAAGAAAGTCGAAGTCGACTGCTACACAGTATAATAAATAGCACCCGCTAGAAAGTATGCTCCCTAGCGGTGACAGTTTGATCATTGATTTCTCGTAAGTCTTTGTAATACTTTTACAAACATCAAAAAGTTTGGGGCAGATCCATTCATTTCGTGGCCGTGGGTCTAAACAAATGTGTAAGAATCGTTCTGAATCTCAGAGTCCCTATGAACAAGAATGACTAATCTTATTACTTTTAGAATATGATAATCGAACCGATAAAAAAAACCGTCAATTTTTATTATTCTTTGATTGTCGTAGTAAGACAATAACACAAGACTACGTTATGTCTGAATGTCTTAAATACTAGTAGGTATTCACTACGTGTAGTGACGGATTAAGAATACGGAATGTCACTACCCCAATTCATCCCGTGGGTGTCGTAAGAGCCGACTAAGGGCGCAAAACAACGCATGACACCAGCACTGCAAAAAGAAGGAAAACTTGACACAAACCCTATACCAACCCGTCTGGCCAGCATGGTGTAGTAGGCCAAAACCTCCTTTCTAAGGAGAGGCCTATTTCCAGCAGTGGACTATTAAAGGTTGTTGATGTGATGATGAGGATTCACTACTCGTAACGTCTAATAAGCGATTCATGTTGATCGAATATGTATTCATACAAAAATACTTGTGAGATAATTTAGCAAAGGGCGCAGGAGGAACAAAGCTTACACATTCGATGTCTCATCAAAGATGAGACAAAGATCAAAGATGGAGGAAAAAATTCGAAAACTTATTACAACGGTAATTTATGGACATTTTGAATTTAAAAAAGGACTGTTTGTGTACCAACGTCTACATTTTAAATTTGTTATAATAAAAGTAAAACTTCTTCATTATGCTCCTTCTACAAAGTTACGGCTTTATTAACAGCTGTATTAGTTAGTCAAGTGATATTTATATTTATTATAGTTAGTATTTTACTAGCGTTTTAGAAAACAAGAATCCTCTTGTCTGGGCCTGGTGAATTTTTTATAATCTATTGTTACGTGTTAGGGTTCGTTGATTTTGGCGGTAAGACCCGTTATGGAGGATTGGCTCGAGAGGCGTCACGGGACCCTCTCATACCCACTGACGCAGGTGATCACTGGGAAAGGATGTTTCGGGGATCACCTGTGTCTGATCCGCAAGGAGCCAACGCCTGAGAGCCACCACTGCGATGGCCAGACCGTGGACACGGATCTCCACACGCTGGTAGTGCCCGGCGTAGGTTGAGCAGAGGCGAGACCTCGTGGCGGCCATCGGAGTGGGAGTTCTCTCGCTCGATAGCCTGATTGCGGCTATCGTGCGGAGTGAGAGTGCGTGGAACTCTGTCGTCTCCTTCTGCGAGTAAGTTATGCTCGCGAAGGAGAGGGCGGAGCGGGACCGGGAGAGGTTTAGAGCTCTCCCGGCCCTGCAGGCCAGGTACCGCAGGCGACTCAGGCGCCGGAGGTCGCAGAACGACCTCCGTCCTCCATAAGCGCAGGCCTGGGGGTGACAGGTGAGGCCATCTGTCACCCTAGCAGAAGCAGGCCGGGGTGGCGGCGAGCGCGTTGCGAAGCGCGCTCGCTTCCAGGGAGCAGAGGGAATATGGGGTTCCTACACGGGTTCTACCTGTTGTTGTAGATGGCCCGAGGTATGTTGGGGCACCAGGGACTTCCTTTCTAGGGTATACCTGGTTCCCCGGCTATTAGTACCCGAGACGGCGTGCGGTTTTAGTCGGTTCGAGTCCGACATGCCACCGATAGGTGGTATCTGAGGGGATTTCCGCACGGAAAAAAAAAGGGTTCGTTGATTCGGAATAATAAGCCTTCTGTCGACTAAAGAGACTTTATTTTAATATTACCTATACATAATGTACTATACGTAGTAGGTATACCTACCTATACTTATTTATTAGATTACTAGCTGAGACCCACGGTGTTACCCGCGTTTGTTGTTATGACCGCGGGCAACGCCGCGGGGCGAAGCTAGTTTAAAAATAGTAGCTTAAATTACTCCTTATGTCATCAGCTATCTGCCAGTGAAAGTCCCGTCGAGATCGGTCCAGCCGTTCCAGAGATTACCAGAAACAGACAGACAGACAAAAATTGTAAAAATGTGATTTTGGCATATGTTCCGTGTAAACATACATATGCATTTAGTAAAAAGCGGTTATTTTAATATTACAAACAGACACTCTAATTTTATTTATTTGTATAGATAGAAGATGTATATTATACACACTAGATTAGAAGATATTATTAACACAATGCCGACCGTTTTACTTGAACAGACGTTATGTCTTCAAGCCCATCGCGCCAATGCCGACGGTATCAACGAGAGTGCAAGAGTTTGGTTTTAAACCGAATCAAATTGATTAATTATTTATATCGTTTGAAAACAATAAAAAATGTTATTTTCTTAGTTTTTTATGGAATAGGGGGCAAACGAGCAGACGGGTCACCTGATGGAAAGCGACTACCACCGCCCATGAACGCCTGCAACTCAGGAGTCACAAGCGCGTTGCCAGCGAAGGGAAGGAGTACGCTCTTTTTTTAAAGGTTTGAAGCTCGTATCGGTCCGGAAACACCGCAGCCGAAAACTTGTTCCACAGATTGGTGGTGCGAGGCAAAAAGTATCTTGAAAAGCGCACAGTGGTGCAGCAATTATACAAGTGGTGGGGATGAAAATTTTGCCGTGTGGAACAATGGCGGAAGGTTGCGGCCGGTATTAGTCCGAACAATCCCTCGGAGCACTTTCCATGATATATACGATAGAGAATGCGGAGCGAAGCTACATCTCTACGTAACGCCAAGGGATTGAGCCGGTCGCAAATCTTTTGGCTCTCGGCGATTCAAGTCGCTCTACTTTGGATTCGATCCAGTGGGAGAAGTTTTTAACTTATCAATAGTTTCTATAACTTAGGTAGGTATTACCTACGCTTGGGCGGACGAACTATAACTAAAACCGCTAAATATATCAAAATCAGTATCTCACACATATAAAAAAATCTTTACAGTTTATAGGTACTTCGTCATATCCCTACCTCGGTAAAATCAAGAAAATGTAGTTATAATTAAGATAAACAGTCATCAACACCAACCGTATTAAACCGAAGAAAATGGTGTTAACCGTTTTTTTTTGTTCTAAACGAATCGGTTTCGTTGGAATTAAATCGGCGTTACATTTATAGTGTGGACGTAAAATATGATATGGCATTTCGTTACAGAATGGAAACTAGCTTTTATGTAGCCACATAGTTAAGGGATTTTAACCATTTACGAACTTTCTCCTTGCATTGTTTTTTGAGGAGGGTGGAAGCATTCTACTTCCGTTTTTTTTTTGTTACATACGTGACTACTAATTACAGGATAATGACGCTGAGCAAGAGCAGTTACGGACTTTCAGACTGTAGTTTCTTTGTTTCACACTAGGTTTTTCATGTTTACGCAGTAATCTCTAGCACAGAGCTGTCTCACTGTGAGAACATCGCACTCGCTATAAAGCACTTCAGTAGAATATCTAAATGGCTTGGATATCATGACTTTTACGACGGCTCTCTGTGCCCTCTCAACTAGAAGGAGGTGCGTTTTGCGAGCCCCGCCCTATAATGTATAGTACATTAATATTTTATAATTAGTAATGTATAATATATACATATTATACACATTTTTTTCTTGCTGATTAAATTCACAAAGCTAAAGGCGGGCATTCTAACCTAAGTCAATAAAGAAAATTATTTGAAGTACATAGTCGAACAGAGCCACAGATGTCATTTGATAAGTATTGAAAATCAATTAAACAACGTTTTATGTTTATTACATATTTATTTCATCACTTCTTAGCCTTAGCTTCTTTGACAGCAGTTGGAGCTTTAGTGACATCGTCAGGATTTTCAGCCGCATCCTTCAGTCGCTTGGCACGGATTCCAACAAGTTTGGCAATAGAACGAGCCTGAAACAAAAACCTCAGTCTTGGAATCAAGGCCTTTATATAACACGGAGATAAATATTATTAATGGCTAAGACTCATCATCAAATTGCGCCTTAGTTTACATTTTATAACCACGTTAGTTTAGTTATTTAACAGAAAAACGATGACATGAGAATGATGGGTTCTCAATTTGCAACATGCATATTGATCACACACAGAAGAAATATTTTTGACAATAGTCGGATAGAATTAGCAAATCCACGAATAAAATTGATAACCTCAAAGAAAGTGTAAATATGCGGATTTATCGTACATTTACACTTTTTTTGGACGATTTGAAGTTTTCTTTTAATAGTTTTTGATTTATTTTTAACAATGTTCCCACGAACGGATCCGCGTTGACATGAAATACGTTCTTTCGGCCGTACTTTTTAAGACTATTTGACTAACTGGTATTTACCATGAGAATGTTTTAGATTATTCTATGATATTGTACATAGTACATTAACATTTCCGGGAAATAAGACCTTTTTATATTTAAAAATCGCTATTAGCTTAAATTTCTAAATAAAGATCATAACGTAACGTAATTGACGTAGGACATAAAAAAACAGTGCTGACGTGGGTAACGTGAGTTTCATTATTTTTGTTAAGATATATTAGATAAAATGGTGTGTAGTGTCAAAATGTAAAAATACGTCTAAAACTACTCCGCACAAACTGTTTCTGTGCCAACGGATCCCAAAAGACGAAAACTGGTTACAATTAGCAATATTTATACCACTTCTTTCAAAATTTATAAGAAAATTTTAGAAATAAGTAAAACACTCAAAAACACAAAAATGCGCACTCAAAATCGGTCGAAGGAATCCAAAAATTGAGATTGTTTGTTTTTTTCACTTCATATCTTTTAATCTATGGTTCACTTTTGACACTTGTGACTATTGCGGTGTCAGACTCTTCAATCATAAGACGTTAACGTCTGAAATAAAATTAATTAAAGAAATCGCTAAATTTGCACCAATTAGCGTGAAATAATGTAGATTATGCTTTACTATCCTATTATGTAATAGGCGACCATGATTTGGAAAATATTTTCAATGTTGTCAAATAGCCTATTGACGAAGTTTAAGCGTGTTTTGTATAGTACCTGGATGACCGTATATACATATTATACATATACAACAATTGCTCGTTTAAAGGTATTAAATAAAGGCCTCCCCTTAGGAAAGGAGGTTTTGGTCTACGTCTAGCAGTGAACTATTAAAAGCTGATGATGATAATGAATGTAAATTTCACATAAGACAAAAGATTTTGGCGTAATTGGTAAATACTAAGTTCATACCATGTTGTAGTATGCGTTACTATGCCATATTTTGTTTAATATAATAGGGTAGGTACTGAAACTTTTTCAGAATCTGAATTTTGAAAGGTCATTGAAATTCAAAAACAACTTGTAAATAAGGCAAGATGCCCTTATGTAAAGAACACAATTCCCACTTCTAGGATTGTAACACAAAGTAAAGGGAAAGACTATTACAATTATAAATTGATCCATTAATTACAACTACAAACTACTATAAAACAATTACAAATGTTTTAGTTTAGTTTGAGTTAACCCAGCCTGATGTCCTAAAATGTAAGAAAACCAACTTTTCCATTTTGTCAGCAACATAAGGCATCTAACAATATTAAAGTCAAGTTCGATTTTGGCAGATCTCCTTAGTTTTAAACAGAGCAACACGGTAGGGAGTGGCCATACGCAGGCGTTCCCCTCTGCCAAAGTATATGTCCACACGGTCCTATGCATACAATAAAACTAGTTACGGCCGGATCACTAACTAGACTAAATGACAATGGCCGTCCTACAAAAATGGCGAATTGTTTAGTTTTTCGCTTCAAAAAGAGATCCGTTAACTCAAGTTTACAAAAAGATGGCGTTACCTATCGTTACCTATATAGTATAAAATATGCAAGCAATTTTTAATCAAATTATTACTATTTATCAAATTACTTTATTGCGAAAATGGGTAGGTAAAATGATTATTGTGATATAAATAATGTGGCATAGCTTCTCCATTATCGGCCTCTCGGTATGCAATACTTAACATTTTATAATTACATGCTTTAGGAATCTAATTACAACATTGTTCATATTCAGAGATTCAAGAATGTCAATATTTCATATATTTATAACTATAAACTAAATGAAAAGAGGTGCATTTTATGTCAGTTGAAAATAAACTACAATAGAATGTCACAATAATTTAAGATTAAAACCAACAGACGCAGAAAAACATATTATGTACAGTCTTTATCATTAAAAATTCGTCCACTGTATAGTACGCCTTTTGCAACAGAAATTGCTTAACCATATTTTTTAAATTAATGATACACGTAGTTTCTATTAAGCGTTTAGGTAGATGGTTACTCGTGGTTACTCGCCATGCAAAATACACTACGACCCATCAAAGCACTTATATGCTGAGGGCAACATATTACGCATACGACTGGGTATTTAATTTTGCACAGATGGATTCCACGTGTACTTTCCAAGGTTGCTATCTATATTTATACGTAGAAATTTTGTTGTTTCTACTTCGTGAAGTTTATCGCCTTTAAATATACGTTTATGTCCGTTACTAGGGGAATTCTATTTTTAAATATCATTAAGTGTTTTGTTTAGATTGGTTTTTAAGTTATTTAATGTCAACCACTTTAGTACATTATTAAGAGTATTGAATAAGTCAGACTCAAGGTGCGACTTGTCTTTAGATATAAATATAATTGTCATCTTCGAATAGAATAGTAGGATGTTTTGTAATCTTTGGCAGGCCATTGGATTATCCCGTTTATAGGCGCATTGTTCTCTCAGTAAGTCGTTTAGTAATCATTATCATACTAGTTAAACTCTTTCAAGTCGGCTGAATTTCAAGGTCATTAATATATATATTAAATAAAAGCGGTCCCAATACACTTCCTTGCGGTATTCTTAACTTAGTTTCTCTATAATCAGACCTGTAATAATTTTCTATTCTTTCTTTTGGACGGTCTTGTTATCTGAGTACAATGTTTTCTGTTTGAAAGATAAGATGCGATCAGATTTAATACATTATCTCTTATGCAATACGAATTCGATTTATTTAGCAAAATCTCATGGTCCACGCAATCGAAACCTTTAGACAGATCCATATTAAGTACAAATACCTTTTCATCCACACTATCTGTGACTATTTAAAAAAAAAAAAGCCATATTAATAGACTTGTTCTTTCTAAAACCAGTTTGCTCTTTAGCGAATAAATTATGTATTTCAAGAAAGTTACAAATTCTGACATGTACGACCTTTTCAAACATTTTTAAAATGGTTGGTATCAGAGCAATAGGTCGATAGCAATCCATAGAATGTGGATCATTCTTCTTAAACAGCGGCTTAATTACAGTTATTTTGAATTGCTCGGGAAAAAGACAATGACAAATACACTAATTAATGACATGACTGAGTACGTGAGATATGCTTATAGTTGAGATTTGCTTTAATGCGTGGTTAGATATATCATCGTAGCCTGTGCTGTTGGTATTTTTTTGGTCCTGATATAACGGTATTTCCAATGGCGATGTGGAATTCATAAATAAAGATTTCGAAATGTTTGCTTGGTGCGAAATTTTCCTGTTAATATTATTTATTCCTTTTTAAACTTAAAATTTACCAAAATAACAGTTGTATTGTCTTGGATCGGTTTAACAACACAGGCTACTCACTCACATATAATATTGTCGAGCGACCGATCTGAGTGTCGTGTTGCTAATCGCAACTCTGACAAATAATATTGTTACTTTGATAGTTTGTAAATAGTAGACATGGAAATTTTAACTACCTTTAAATCATATTCATTTGATGAAATGATTGGTTTTAGTCACAGAGATTTCACATGTGGCTGTAATTTCGTCATAGACAAAGATAAATGGCATTAAATCATTCAACATTATTTTTATCAAGAATTACTTTTTCTTTTTTAGATTTATACAGAGTCTTGCTCTAGCGTAATAATAATAGTTGTGGTTTCGTAAATCAGTCACAGGTGTGATGATTTGTTTTATAAATCATGTGATTTATCACATGTGATTATGATTTTATTTCATCCCTAGTAATTAGATCGTGATAAAACAAACACATGTTTGTCGTGCATATTATCATTTTTGAGATCATGTTTTTTTATATAATTATTGTAATTATGTGGATTTTGATCTTTATTTTAATATGGTAACATGTACCTTACCTACAAGATGGATACCTACTAGAAACAGTGTCATTTGCTCAGGTCATTTCATGACCTCTGACTTTTAGAAGTGTTGGTTAACAATAGAAGAATGGACTATTCTTAATGTACTAACCCACAGAAATGAATTCGACATATTTATACAAAATTAATCTAGTTTAAAAACCAGTGATAGATAAAACTATTAGTAATATCAATGATGATTGCTGTAGTAATAAATAAAGTTGTATCACTTTTTAAACCTGATGTCAATTATAACACAGAATGTGTACTCATATTTGTGTGTGAATTTGTTAATGTGTGGTTTTAAGGACTAACTAAATGGCTTGAATACAAATATTTGTGTAAATAACAAGAAAAGATTTTGTTATCCTGTACTTGTGAATAGTTTAGTAATTACCATGGCAGCCTTTTATGATCTGAAATGGCTTTTAAGTCCTGTTTACTAACTCATTTTTATCAGCCTAGGAACTAATTTAAATTATGTAACTCAAAAATGCCTAATTATTTTTCCTTCCATTCAACACAGTTTGAGTCCATTCAAAGTGACATAGACTAACATAAAAATACCTAAATACTTTTTTTTAATTTATGTTAGAGGGGGCCGGAGAGCAGACTGTTTACTATTACAACTTGTGTTGGGCCCTCAGTCAATTATAAATTGTATAATTACCCCTCTTAGGTATTGATAAGCTTTGAAGTCCTTCTCTTCCTCAGTGATAGCACGCGCAATGGACTTGGGTGCTGGCTGCTGCACTGGCATCAGGGGGCCACGGAGCTGTGTAGCCAACTTACGTTCTTCTTCATTCGCTTCACCCTTCAGTACCTGTAGTGTAAGTCAATTTTGTTTAAAAATAAGTGCATGAGTCTAACATTCAAAACAGCAGTATCAAACAATCATGTGAATTTTTCGACAATTTCAAGCCCTTAGTCACAAACAACATAGATGTGCAGAAAACATACTAGTAAGTATGAAGCAAATCATTACACTAATTTAAATAAAGGTAAATAAAAAATAACACTTGACAAGATTCTTTTCTTTATGTATTGGCATAGTGTAAAATAACATCAAAGCTCCTAAAAATTTAATAAATACTGAGCTGAGAGCTATCTGAATTTAAACTACAGTTTTAAAAATGCTGACAAAACATATATTTATCAAAAAGCTTTTAATAGGATGTACTAATTAAAATAACAAAGGCCTACAAAAACTTTTTGTTTTGGTGCAGTCTATTTGTACCAGCGGTCAATAAAGAATGTAATGTACAATATATGATATACTTCATTTTAACTCATGAGCTTTAGTTTACCACCTACACTTATTTTGATTTTTATTAAAACCTATACAATAAATCTTTTTATTTCCTTATGGCTGGTATGACCAGATGTAGTGTTAATGATCCTGGTATGTATTGAATATATTGAATACATACTGAGAACTTAGCCAAAATTGATTACAGACACTAAGTAATTTACTGGTAATTTGCTCACTTCAGAACGGATATCGAAATAGGGATAAAGAGTGGGTGCCTCATTGTGTATGCAAAATATGCATTGAACATTTGCACCAATGGGAGAAAGGAACACAAGTTGAAGTTTGGAGTGCCGATGATTTATAAAATACTTTGTTAAAGCTCTAGATAGAAATGGTCGATATTTTCAGGTTGTTTCTCAGAACTGAGCAATTAAAAGCAGGTGTATTTCATGAACTTCAAATTTGTCAACTAATTATTAACACAATAAATTTTGAGGCCTCTATGATCTATATGGATCAATTTGCAAATCTTTTGTAGAGGTTTTACAAAAAGTGCTTTGGAAATTACAAGGTAGACTATATGGAATTAGTTGAGGGAAATAATGCATAGCATCAAAAACTTAAGACTATAATATGCGCATATAATTACACTACCTCCATAGTCATATAGATCACTTTCAGCATAATAATAATAAGAACAAGGCGAATGTTTTGACCAAGACAAAGACAATAGAAAATAAAATTGGGACATTCATATAATTGCTGATTATTGCTCAAGATCTAAGGATGTTGCTCCAAGACAATTTTATCTGAAAAAATCACTCAAAAGACTTCATTGTATAATGCCAAAAAAAATTGATATTATGCAAAAATATCTTTTTTATATATCTAACTAAAGCTGATAGAAAAAAATCAGTACCATTTCTGATATCACCTATATATTTAAGATCATGTCCAAAATCCCTGGCACGAAAATGAGTGTAGGCCAATATAATGGGTATTTGCTTCTTAAAAATCCTTTTTTAACTTATAAACTAAATAATTCTCACTTATAAACTAAGAAATTAGCACAGAACTTACTATCTAGACCTACAATGAACAATAAATCATCATGCTCATCACACAATTATTTAAATGTGACAGCAGACAATTTAATTTTTTTTTTAAATTGACAGGATCACTAGCCAATCACCAGCAGCTCATTTATAAAAAAAAATATGTATGTTCTTATAGTGTACTTCTTCACCTCCATTCTTTTTATAGGGTAACTGTCTCACAGTATATGCATTCCGAAAGGCATCCATAGTATTCTACGATTAAGATGACATGCTTAATATTGCTATTAAAAAAAGCATAAAATAAAGAATGTCCACAAATATCAAGTATTGTTATTCACCTTCTTGCCCTTCGGGAACAGGATGAGACGGGCACGGTACTCCTTAATTCTCTGAACATTGGTTTGGAGTGACTCTACAGATTTGTTGCGTCTGCGAGGATCCACTGCAATGCCAATGGTTCTTGCAAAAGCAGGACTAAGACCGGCTGCCTAAAACAAATCAAGGAACACTTGCTACAGTGCTAAAACTAATAATCCAAAACATATGATACTGTTGTTGATTATATGAACTCACCCTGATTTCGCGAAGAGTAAATCCGCGTCCTGCACGAACCTTAGTATGATAACGAATAGTAGGACAACGAACAATCGGCCTTAAAGGACCGGCAGCAGGACGTGGTGCAATAGCTTTAGCTTTCTTCACTCTGTTTTGCTTTCTGCGGTGACGTCTCGCTGGTTGATTAAACCAGGTTTTGACAAACCTTTGCCAATCCTTATGGAAATGGCCATTGGGTATCATATTATTACCCTTACCCATGTTTGTAAAACCTAAACTTCACCTAGAACACAAAATATTTTTAGTATTGCTTAGCGCACTGACATATAACTATGAAACTGTATCAAATCACAGCTTAGCATAAAGGATTTGCAAGAATATTTTCGATTATTATAATAAACACTGACCGTGCCAATAAGAAGTTTCGTAAAAAGAACCTAAAGATATTTTGACACATGAATGTTGCCACATTCGTAATATAATGTCATACATGTTTTTTTAGAAAGAAGTAAAATTGATATTATGAAAGGTATTAATTGAATGATAAAAATTACATAACATTAATTTTACTTCTGTTAATACATTTATAATAATAATAATAATTTATTGATACCAATACCAACACCACATTAATACATTTGATTTTTAACATTGGTTCTGATGTACTCATGAACTGGGTGTTAATAATAGTCGATGATCCCTAACGTCTAAACTAGGACTGGGCCTGTTACTTAGACGTTAGTGTCATCCCAGGAATTAAGTACATCATAAATTGACATTTCATTTATGCAATATATAATCATAAATGTAAAAAAAATCAGATAAAAACAGATAAATAATGTGATACTAGTGTGCAAATTCTGTACGTTTGGAAGCTATATCTATAGAAGATTCATCAGCGTCAGATTCTGTGAACGTAAGAACATAATAATATAGTTTGTGCTTGTAGGTAAATTGATAAAGATTTAGTGTCGTGTCGCAAGCAAAGGCATCAGGCCCCAAACAAAACGAACTACCATACTATCACGTATTGATCAACTCAAATGAAGATGGACTGGACATTTGCTCCGCTGCAAGAAGGAAAAGCGGAGCAAACAGGTGATAGTCCGGTATCCGAGGGATGGCAGAAAGATTGGAGGAGGCCTTTGCCGTAACACAAACCGAACCAAGAGATATCTTGTGATAAAGTGTAGTTTTATAAAGTTAAAAAAGTTTTTTTAAAGTTTTATAAACTCTTTTTTTATAGTTTATCTTCTAATTTTTTTACTAAGACATGAAAATATGTAAAATGAAATTATCTCGGAAATAAAGGCTTTATTATTTATTATTATTATAGTGTCGTGTCGCGTCTACTCAGTTCAGAATTAGTTGGTAGATTAATCAGTTTTGTTCGATCGGTTAAGCAGGAGCCGCGAGCGCGATGGTTCGGATTGGGCTCGGATCAAGTACGCTCGTATGATTACTTGGATGCTACTTGTTCCGAGTGCACACGGGTGTCGGATACTGATCAGAGTGAACTCGGACGCGCTTCTATTTTTTCGAGTGCACTCGGATGATTTTATGGAAACAAAATGGCGTCAATCAAAAAATGTGGAGAGAACGTGACAATATGAGGTTTGTGGAGCTTTATGAAGAGGAGGTAGTGTTATGGAATGTGAAGCTAAATTAATATTAAAACAAAGACGGCCGAAATGTTGCAATACAACCCATAATTGATAATTTACACATACCTAAACCTTTGATACCAAGATTTGAATTCAATAATATCCAGAATACGTACTCGCAAGAACTATAAAAAACAAAAATAAAATCAACAGGGCCTTTTATTAAAAAAAAAACCATCACCAGTACGGTTTAAAATTATAGATAGATTCCTATCGTGTGATCGTGTGTAATTAGAAAAGGAAACGTTTCAGGAAAGATTCAGGGTTTAACAGTTAAATCTATACTAATATTATAAAGCTGAAGAGTTTGTTTGTTTGTTTGAACGCGCTAATCTCAGGAACTACTGGTCCGATTTGAAAAATTCTTTCAGTGTTAGATAGCCCATTTATTGAGGAAGGCTATAGGCTATATATCATCACGCTAAGACCTATAGGAGCGGAACACTAATGAAGAATGTTTCAAAAACGGAGAAAATTTATTACTATTGAGAGACGCAGACGAAGTTGCGCGGGTCAGCTAGTCTCTACTAATATTATAAAGCTGAAGAGTTTGTTTGTTTGTTTGAACGCGCTAATCTCAGGAACTACTGGTCCGATTTGAAAAATTATTTCAGTGTTAGATAGCCCATTTATCGAGGAAGGCTATAGGCTATATATCATCACGCTAAGACCAATAGGATCGGAGCACCAATGAAGAATGTTTCCAAAACAGAGAAAATTTATTACTATTGAGAGACACAGACGAAGTTGAGCGGGTCAGCTAGGAATAAATAATATTAGGTAGTAGTTTATTTCATCATCATCATCATCATCAACAGCCTATAATAGTTCACTGCTGTACATAGGCCTCTCCTTAGAAAGGATGTTTTGGCATACTATACCACGCTGGCCAGACGGGTTGGTATAGGGTTTTTTCCCTTAGTCGGCTCTTACGACACCCACGGGATGAATAGGGATGGTGACATTCCGTATTTTTAATCTTTACACGTACTTTAGTAGTTTATTTGCTGTAGTTTAATAATATTGTTTTACTAATATAAGAAATCACAGGTATTTCAGAATATTCTGCTACTTTACCATGTAAAGGCATATTCTCTTATGAAGTATCTAGTGTTTGAAACTAGTTCTTCCTTCTATGCTGACCGAAAATAATGATCATTAACCTAGTTCACAAGATGAGCTATATGCTTGGAACTTGATTCTTGTCTCCATGTACCAGGTCCTGTAAATGCGTCGTAACACAAGGCTGTCTCAATCAACCAGTTATGTAGGGCGCAAGTTGCTCGTTCCTGTTTTATAGACTATCTGCTACTATTTCTATGCCTCGCAGTAGTAGACCGTCATCATCAGACGTTTTGAAAGTGGATGTAGTGCAATGAAATAACGAGTTTAAATTATACTCGGACGCTATTCAACTCGTAACGTGTATACTATAGTCCGAATGCACTCTTATACGAGCAGGCTCGTACGAGCGTCTCGGTCCGAGTCTACCCGTAACGTGAAAACGCGGCTTAAATGTCTGACGCGACAGATGGCGCATGGCCACCGCCGATTTCATTAGTTTAGGTTTGGAATTTACAATTCATTACATATTAAAATAGGTAATAAATTAAGGAAAAGGAATATAATTATTGGATATTATATATGCAGATGTACATAAGTATAAGATGATTATTTCATGCATCAAACATATTAAAAGTGACATAAAAATATAACCTACGAAAGTTCTACAGCTAGTGGACTGTAATAATTCTTTCTTATCTTTTTTATTTTATTTAAATTGCACTCAAATAGGTATAATCACATATAACTATGAAAAACAATACAAAAACCAAGTTGAAAAGTCGAAAGCCATAGATAAATTGATAATTATGCAGCTATGTCATAGAAGACTCTTTATCTGTTGACTCTTTTAAAATCAGTGCGTACCTAACTAAAAAATCAAATGATAATATCTTTTTTGCCTAGCCTTTCCCAAACGAAAATTGTTTTACACATAGATTATGAAAAAAAGCGTTTTTTTTTAAATTTATTTTTCACTTCAAGACGATGCAATTTGATTCAAAATATTTTTTTGTATGAAGACCCGCCATTGTTCAGTCGCCGCCATTGTTTGTCGAAATCGGTCGCCAAATATTAGAACATGTCGGTCACTGGTTCAAAAGTTATAATCGTTTATAGGGGGCGCTGCTAGGGTCAGTCTCCCCAGCAGGGCCATGCTTGTATGTCAAAAACTAGGGCACCTGGCGAAGATCTGTTTTCTTCCAAATTTAGTAATTAATTAATCGTAAATTGTCGCTAAATATCAGAGTTTATCGGTCATTGACTCAAAAGTTATAAGCGTTCCTAAAGCCGCGTTTTCACGTTACGAGTAGGCTCGGGCCGAGTGCGCGCGTACGAGCCTTTTTTTTTTTTTTTTTCCGTGCGGAAATCCCCTCGGATACCACCTGTCGGTGGCATGTCGGACTCGAACCGACTAAAACCGCACGCCTTCGCCGGGTACTAATAGCCGGGGAACCAGGTATACCCTAGAAAGGAAGTCCCTGGTGCAGAAAGGAATTCCCTAGTGCAAACGCGCGTACGAGCCTGCTCGTATAAGAGTGCATTCGGATTGTAGTATACAGGTTACGAGTTGAATAGCGTCCGAGTATCATTTTATCTCGTTGTTTCATTGCACTATATCCATTTTGAAAATGTTCGATGGTGACGATCTTCTACTGCGAGGCATAAAAATAGTGGCCGATAGTCTATAAAATTGTCAAAAGCGACTTACGCCCGCCGCAACTGGTTGATTATGAGAGCCTTGCGTTACGTCGCACTTACAAGAGAACTTATAGGACCTGGTACATGAACACAAGAATCAAGTTCAAATCATATAGGTGACCTTGTGAACTAAGTTCACAATCATTGTTTTCAGTCAGCAAAGAACGAAGAACTAGTTTCAAACGACACATCATGAGAGAATGTGTATGTGTTAATAAAACATTATTATAAAATTACAGCTAAGAAACTACTTATAATTTTTATTATTTAACTGTTATAAACCCGAAACATTTCATAAAACGTTTCCTTTTTTTGATTACACACGATAGAAATCTATCTGCAATTTTCAACCAATGATGAATTTTTAATTTTTAATAAAACGCCCTGTGGATTTTATTTTTAATAGTTCTTGCGAGTACATATTATGGATATTAATTGAATTTGTTGTTCACGTCTTGGTTTCATAGGTGGTGTGTAAATTCTTAAGTATGCGTTGTATTGTAGCATTTCGGGCGTCTTTGTGTTTACATTCATTTAGCCTCACATTCCACAACACTTTCTCCTCTTCATAAAGCTCCACAAACCTCATAGTGTTACATTCACTCAAAGAAAATGATACGAGTGCACTCGAAAAAATAGAACCGCGTCCGGGTCCACTCTGATCGGTATTCGACGTCTGAGTGCACTCAGATGGCGTGTTTATACGATACGAGTTGCATTCGAGTAGCACTCGGTCCGAGCCCACTCGTAACGTGAAAACGCGGCTTTAGTGGCCGACCTGTTTTCTCCTAAATTTAATCGTTAATTATTCGCAAT